ATAAAAAGAATATAATATTTATATCATAAGATGCATTAAAGTTTTACAAGATTCAAATTTCAAAACGATTCTTTCAAATGCATTTATATCGGTTTTTCCATCACGTGTATATAGAAACCAGCATTTTTTATTTCTTCCAAATTTTTAAAATCCCCATATATAGTATGCTTGGCTCTATAATGAAATGCTTCGTCCAATATCTCCGTGAACACGCTAAGTTTATGAGGATAATAAGACAATCTGAATTCATTGATTTGCTTTTGCTGTTCATCTTCGTCTTCTCCTTCATCCATCGTAATAATATAATCTAAAGTCACAATTGCAGGTTTTCCAGAAACAAATAATACCGACGCCTTAATATCTGTCATATGTTGACTCTGAAATAAAAAATAATATTATTTTTTTCAATAAGAAAATTAAAAATTTTAACATTTCAACGAATTCTTTTCAAAAAATATACTCACATTATAATATATACACTTTGGAGGTATATTACCAGTCTCGATAATGAAATCATAATTTCTATGATCGATTAATAGTAAACCACCAGGTTTCACACAGCGTTCAAAATTTAGCAACGCTTGCCTGTTTTATCATTCAATAAAAACATTAAATTCAATTTTTTTTTAATTAATTATAAAATAAAAATATCGTCTTCACCTCTGCTCTCGTTGATCGCCAAACGTATCAGGCATGTGAGCAAAACTATTTCCCAAGCAGATTACCGCATCAAATCCATCTCTTAACAAATAACGAATGTCTTTTGGTAAAGTCAACCAATTTGCTTCTTCGATTACTATAAAATATAAAAAAATAAAAAAGAAATCGATGAAAAAAAATATTATCACTTTCCAACTATTAAATAATGAAGTAATAAAAAAAAGTTAGGTTAGAAAGAATTCGGTATAATCCTCGGTGAAAAAGTTAAAAAAAAATATGCGTTAGAATTTAACACTTGATTTTGATTGTGATAATTATTATTTTCTACAAATAAAAAAAAAAAATTTAGAAAAATTAACGTTTCAGTTCCTTTTCTTAATAAACTTCAATTTTAATGAATTTTAATGAATTTTCATCTGATTTCACAATAATGCATTTATATTTCTTTTACATATACACTTTTTTCAATAACGATGAAATATTCAATTATATATATAGATTATGATCTATCTGTCAAAATACATTACAATAATAATTACGATTTGATTTGCTTTGCTTTTAATCATTATCGCAATACTTATTTTTAACAAAATTGATAATTTATCACAGATAAATAAAATAAATATGATAACAAAAATCGATATCAATACATTATAATATTTACCCCAGTTATCAAATGCTTGCTCTTTTCGACGTTCCCATCTAGCTTTCAGAGCATACTTCAGCATTTTATCTGAAGCATCAACACTGACCACTTCGAAACCTTCTTCAAGAAGCATCACTGAGTCTACTCCAGTCCCGCATGCCACATCTAAAATCCTTTTGCATCCTTTATTTCTCAATAGACCAACTAAGAAATCTCTGTAATTTTGAGTTCTCTGCTTTTTGTCGCCAATGAACACTTCCCACACCTTAGCAGCTCTTCCATCTGCATACTGATCTCGAACGCCCTCGGCTGCCGTACCGAGCGATCTCGTACGAAATATCGAATCCATTATTCTGTTAGTTTATGATAATGAAAATGAAACATTATTTTATGTTTGTAAAATATAAAAAAATTTTTTTTTATATTTATATTTATTTTATTTTATATTATATTTCCAAATTTCGTTTTTGCGAGAAGCAGAAAATGGTGAAATCTATTTAGATTATTTTCGATATAATATTTATGTTGATTGTAACCTCCTAATTTCTAAAAAATTAATTGATACGAAGTTTTATTACGTTACGATGATTTGACAATATATGATATGATAAGCAATTAAATTTTTAATTAAAAAGAAAATATATAATATATTTTTTTTATAAAATGGATATAATGAAAACAATATAATTATTTAACAATATATTAAACAATATAATTAATTAAATCTGTACACCTTCTTATCTAGAATTTTAATATATAGTCTCTTATTATTTACGATATATCATACTAATTTATTACGAAAATGTGACAAATTATCGGAAAACTATTGCGTCAGTATATAACGCAATTTAAATTTAATATAAAATAATATGAGAAGATATTACATTGGGTATATCGTATTTTTTAATACAGATTTATTATTTATTATAATTAAAATATTTATTTTATAATCTTCCTTTTTAATTTTATCCATTTCAAATATTTACAGAATTTTGATCAATTAATTTTTTATCAAATTTTATACAAGAATAAACCTTCCATTGCTATTTTCATCATATTTTTAATTAATAATTATAATTATTAAATATTTTGTGAATTACTTCCTTTACTTTCTACTTTATGGTGTAATAAAAAAAAATGATATATGTACTTAAATATTTAAAAATTGAAATATAAAGAAATAATTCTATTTTTGATATATATAAGATTTCATAAGATATTACCTTTTGAATATTCTGAATAGTAATCTGTTTTCTTGATGATGAAAATAAAAAACAAAAAAATTATAATTGTCGAAAGAATTTTAAATATAAAAAAATTATTTAATAATTTCTATTCGCGTGAAACTATTGAAACAAATTTATAATTAATAATGTGATCGTACACTGTAGCAGAATGACACTGAGAAATGAATATGGATCCATACAATATATAAGATTCTCAAGTTCCATGAACTTAGCATGATGTAATTTCTTTCCCAGCTAGAAATCCTGCTTGAAATTATTGATAAAGATTCATAAACAGCAAGATGCGATAAAAAATTCTATACAACAGGAAAAAGTAAAATTTTTTGTTGATGTTTTCAGTTATTGGTAAATAAAAAAAAATATTCTTCAAACTATCACAGATACGATGAGATACAAGATGATTAGATAAAATATATTCTATTAAAATTCTTAATTAATATATTAAACAAAAAAAAAATATATAATAAAGTTATAATATAATAAATATAATATAATATAATAAAGTTATAATCAAATAATGAAATTTTTTTAACATATAAATTTTGCAAAATAAATGTAATCAAAAACAGTTAATAAAGTAAAATGATAAAATAAAAATCAACGCTATCAATATCATAGATGAAACTTAAATATAAATAAAGAATAAATATAAATAAAATATAGATAAAGAAAGCAAATAGTAGGAAAAGGATAGAGATAGAATAAAAATATTGAAATCAGCGCCATCTTTAGAATGCCGTAAATGAAATACAAAAAAAAAAAAGAACAAAAAATAGTGGGAGAAAAATAGAGATAATGTAAAAATTGACTGTTAACGCCATCACTCGAATGCTAAAGACATTTCTTCAAAGGCAAGATAAAGTAGAGTAAAAATTAGAAATTAGTACCATCTCTAAAGATTTAGGAAAGATATTCGAGAGATAGCGCTATTAATAAATTCTTATTCTATGTTTATTCTTTTTTTATTTTTTTTGTTTAAATTTAAGTTAATTCTACGACTCTAAAAATGGCGCAGATTCCTGAATTTTTATTCTATTTTTATCTTTCTCCTATTACTATTACTATTACTATCATTATGTTTTTCTTGTTTATACCTTTAGCTGATAATTACAAACCAAGTACGGCATGTTAATTGAAGGCACTTTCATTGTTTCTTCAAAATAACAATGTTATCTTAATATTTAATATAAAAAATATAGATATTACATTCTCGGTTTTACTTTACTTTAATTTCTAAGATGATGATCTCGCAATCTAATATGTATTGTATGTATTGTATGTATTGTATGTATATAATATGTATGTATTGTACATGATTAGCTCAGCAAAAGCAGAGGGATTTAAATAGATAAAAGTCTGATTCGACAACAAAGGAAGTAGAAATGAATTTTATAACATTCTATCAAAAAATTATACTATTAAAAATAAAGACAAATAAAATGCGAAATCCTTTTTAAAATAAGGAAGAGAAAAATATTGAATATTTTAGAATATTTACTATTCATTATTTTTTTATTTTTATTTTTTAAATGGAACGAAATCTAATATTGTTTAAAAATCTTTTTGATAAATATGGATAATTGTAGATCATTTGAACGAAATAACAATTTATACTATAAAATTTTAATTATTTTTTCAAAATAAATTACATAATTCACATACAGACTATTTCTGTGTCAAACATATGTTAAGATATTTAAAAATAGTTAATCAAACGACAATTGAAAAATTTCAATAAAGATTCTGATAAAAATTTTTAAAAGATACTTTAAGAAAAATATATTATATTTGAAAATTATCAAGAATAACAAGTTTTCTTTTAAATACGATAAATACGACGTTTGTGTAGTACTTTTCTACATGTTTTTTTTTCATATATAATAGCAAATATATAATAATATAAGTCAGAAATAAATCAGAATGAAAAAAAGAAATCATTGTATATAATAATAATATTCATACTATAATCATTATTCACTCACATGAAAAAGCAAAAAATATGCAAAAATATTGTAGAGAATAGCACTAAATATTAGTTTTAAGTATTAATAAAAAATAGTAAAATTTAATTTTGTGAAAAAATTGATATCAAGTTTTATTTTATCATCATTCTTATTATCTGCTTAAAAATTAATATTAATTAAGCAAATAAATGAAAACTTAATGATCAAATATTCATATAGAAAATTACATATATGTTATAATATTACACATTTAATACTCTTATTGATAGAATAATTGGCAAAAACATTATAAAAAAATGGCAGTTTCTTATTTTTTGCAAATAATCTTTTCTATTACATTTAATTCGTTAATTCTAAATTTGAATAAAAGATATAGCATAAACATATATTTTTTTCTTTCATCTTTTTTTTTTTTACTCATGAAAAATACAATAAATATTTTTTACTGCCTGTAACATTAAAATATGCATGAACATTTGTAAATTATTCTGCTAAATTGATTAACTTTATTTTTTAACAATATACATATTTCAATCAAATGAAAACTTAGTGATCATGTATTAGATGAACATTATTGAGTATCTTTGGAAAAAAATGAACAATTTTGTTTTACAAATGAATTATCAATAATATTACAATTTGGAGCTGTGCACAAAAATTCAATTGTTAACTGTGCGATAGTTCATTTTAAACACTAACAAGATTTAATTTATTTTTCTTGTTTGTGACTATTTAATAGTTGAATGTTGAACTATATCACTTTGTCATTTGTAATAATTTTTTTGTTGCTCTCTCCATCCCAACCTGCATGCTTGTGCAACATGTTACTCTCATATATTTTTTAAATCTTCTGGTAAATCATTCTTAGGATGTTTATTCTCAAAGTGTTGTTTATATGTCTTTGGATCTGGCATTTGTGCCTATAAACAGATCATTATTTTTAAAATTTTAAAAACTCTAAAATTTACAATAAAAAATAAATAACATTACTAACCTTACAAACTATGCACACATGAACTAAAGCTTTCTGTGCAGCCTTTTTTTGCTCATTAGCACTATGTCCTTGTTGTTTTTTTACTTTTGCAGCTTTCTCAGCTGCTTTGGCTTGTGATTGAATTTTCTGTTGCCCACGTGCCATTCTGTAATAACATTTATATTATTACAAATCTGTGCACTTTTATGTATATAAAAACTTTATATACAAAATTATATGAAAGATTATATTGAAATAATCATTTGTTAAAATATTTCGTAAATTGTGAAAAAATGTAAATACTATAAAATTAAAAGTGTTTCGTCATAAATTTTTCAAGATACGTTTAATTAAAGTGAATACAGATGTACCAATGTACCAATGTAATGGAAAATAAAGTTCATACAAATTTCTGGTTGCTATGTTCGCCGTAAAAAAACGTTGACAACGTGCATCTTCATTCGATTGTACAATCTTCAATCCTTTCTCTTTAATAGACTATTATTACGTACTTTCACTTCGCCGAGATTATAAACCCAACCTATAAAATAGGTGACTGAGGTGCCAAAGATTGCCCGCGATATTATTGGTTTAATTTATATTATCAAGCGTGTGTAAGCAAAAAACAGTAATACAAAATAGTTAAATTAAATTTTCGAAGAAATTTACAATAAGCAAGAGCAAAAAATTATTTTTTGGACAAAGTAGTTTGCAAAAAATAGGTCGCTCACCTGTCCCAAGATAAACGTATTTAAAAGCAAGATTCTCTTGCTATTTCGATGATCCGGGGCTTAATTATTCACAACAGAAACAAAAAAATTTTGTTTCTATATTTTGTTGTATAGTTGAAATTAATTAAGAAAATGATTTGCAAAGAAAACGGAGTAATCGAAAGCAGTGCTCACAGCACATCTATTAGAACGAGCAATCTTCGAGCATTCGTACGTGAAGTACTGCCTTTCAAATAAGAATTGTGTATAAAATGAAAAAAATATAATTGAAATGGAATATGTAAAAGTTAGTATAATTACGATACGATATTTATATAGTTTTCTTTATTTAATTTTTTATCCATTCACTTTAGATATTTTGAGGATGTAATTGTTTTTAATCGATATTCAAATATTAAGACCAGCAGTTCACTGACCGCATTCTTGACAAGAAATATATGTGTGTGTGCATATCAAAATACTTTCTTCCAATGAGGAAGACCACTTTCCTATAGCGCTTGTTACGTATTGGTTGAAATTTTCAATACAATTTTGGAAAGTAATCATGATTTTTTAATTTTTACTTCAATATGATTTATATTATATTGTATTTTAATTTTATAATATTAATAATTAATATTTCAAGTAATACAATGTGCACAATTTGTTAAAAATATGAGTTTTATATGAACCAATCATATTACACATTAAACACTTTAGCGGTTGTTATATTTAAAATTGATTTTATAATATTATGGAAAATATTTTATTTTATTTTCTAGAAACATTAATAACTTCAATTTTATTTTAATTCATAAACTAAAAATACAATGATTCATAATATAGATACTAAGCTTTGTATTCAATTATTTTTATTTACAAAGTAATATTATCATAATATGCAATCATCTATGTGTACAATGCGAAGAAAACACTATAATATTTATCCATTATATAATATATAGATATATATTTTATGTATTGTTTAAATATTATATTGAAAGAAAGTTATACATGTTTTATACAATTAATCTTATGAAATTTTTAAAATAAAGTAGAGCACTATTATATCATCTATTTTATTAACATTCCATAATTTAGAGAGTTTCGATATAATATTTAAATATCGACTACGACACTTTATAAAATGATTTAAATATATTTTGCGTGGTATGATAGATTTATCATTTATTACAAGCGTGTATTTTTTTAAGCATATTAATTGCTATATACTAAGAAATCTATTACGTAGTACTGTTGCTTAAATATTAACACTGCAATCATTGTTTTACATATAATATAAAACAAAATAAATGAATAATATATGAGTTTCTTTTATCGTAGTATAGTTTCATTTTCATCATCAGAAAGCAAATACAAAGATACATAAATGTATATATAAATAAATCTTTATATAAATGACAAAAACAAATTTCTGCGTTTTTTAATAAAGAAATATAAATCCAGAGTATCCATATCATACATACATAGTAATTTTTTCCATTATATTATTTGAATAAATTAAATAAAATAAAAAAATAAATTTTAAGTGATTTCTTATAAAAAAAAAAATTAAAAATGATTGAATACGCATTTTCACATCACAAATTCATTAAAAGTCGCATCATTAAAAGTCATTTTTTTTTCAATTATTAAATGACGATGTCTAAATTACTTAAGTTATATTTGTTTTCAGGATTTCGAAAAAATTTAATACGCAATATAATAATAATTAGAACTAAGTAAGATACAATTTTGAATCTAAATGTTATTTAGCTTCAAAAAAACAAGTAGTGATCATACGTTGATGAATAAATTATTGATTACTTATTAAATATTAAATTATTATTAAATAATATATTAACATATATGTACATATATTAATATGTTTCGTAATATATATTCAAAGAAGATATAGAAGAGTATATAATCTAGACATTACTTTTCGCTACCTGCAACTCTTTTTTATTGAATTTTTTTTACAATTCAAAACTATTCCATAATGGAAATAACGCAATATTAATTATGTGCATCAAAAATTGTTTTTTTTCGCAATATTTATGAAATGCACACTTTATTATTTTCTGCGCATGCAAAAATTTTTATTACTTATCCCTATTTAACAATGGAATATTTATATATGTATATATTTCATAAATGTATATTCAAACAATACAATTTTAAATATAAAATATCGTAGTAAATTCACAATATCCAATTTGCTAAATAACAATAAATTAATTAAAATAAAGTTTTTTTTTTACAATATTTATCGCATTTTTAATTACTAATATATGTTATTTCAATTCTATGTCTAAGTACAAATATACAATGATAAAATTAATTTTTAACAATGGAAGAATATGAATAAATATTAATTTTAATAAAACAAAAATAAGATGTTATGATATTTGTAATTAAATGCACCGTCATTTTCAGTTTCCAACAATATGAATATGTTCAATCTTCTTTATAAAATATAATTAAAATTTTAAATTGTAATTTAAATACAATTTTACAGAAATTAAAATTTAAGAAAAACAAGAAAATTCAATATACAAAATACATCATTTTCCGAAGATTATAATATGCATACCATATTCATTATTCTGATACTCTGGCAGTGTAAAGATAACTGACGATCTATCGTTTTGTTATAACAATTCCAAGTGAAACATAGATACAGAATCGAATGATATTGTTATTGAAAGTAGTAATCTATATAATAACATAATTTGTAATTGTTTTTCGGTAACTATAAAATCTTATATATTGCATTTATATATATATATTGTTATTGTTAATAATTACTTCAAGTTATTAATAAATATTAACAAATTTTAAAAATATTATATAAAATTATACATCTACTGACTAATGAATAAACATAAATTATTTTTGATTGAATAATTAATTGCAATTGCATGCTGCAAAATGAAACTGCACAAGCTGTAGTTTCTGGCAAGCTATTTATATATTTATAAATGTGAGAATATCAACAAAGTTTAAATATTATTTATTTCTATATTTAATTTTATGCCTTGTATATGGGCATTTTAAATTAACTACTAATGATCGTAGAATATTTGAAGTTCATTTCTCTCTTTTTTTTTTATATTTTTTAATGACAATATTCTATAAATTCATGATAATTTAAATGATGAATGTAATAGTTGCCAAGAGAGCAAGGAGATGTTATGAAAAATATATTTGGGTACAAAAACGAAACTACTTTACAAGTTCCACTGAAAGCAGGATATGACTTAAAAAAGAATACATATAGAATTGGATTAATAATATCATCGATAAGAAATAGCACAAAATAGGAACAACCGATCAGCGCAGATCTGGATTATCGTCAACTTGCTTTTTAATACGTAATAATACTGTTGTGTACCACTGATCCAATCGTGAAATTGAATCATATTCCTTTACTGCTTCTGTAAAACCTTCGAGTTGTTGTTCCTCGATATGTTCTATTAATGTCTGAAATTGAAATTGAAACATCTTTAATTGAAATCGAATCGAAAAATAACTTCGAATTTTTTTCAAATATACAAAAGTTTTATAACATTTAAATAAAAAAATTTATTATCTTTCAATAAAATCTTTCAAATTCTTTATCTTTCAAATTCTATATTTTATACCTTTATCAATTTGTACTCTCTAGAATCTTGGAATGCAGGATATTGTTCTTGATAACGTTCAATTGCATGTTGAGCATTTAATACATCAACGCATAAATGACATAGCGCTGCTCGGAAAAAATATTCTTTTGCACTATATTTCAACAAAGAACTTTCTAAAGATGCAGATGCAACCTAGAAAATAGAACTTGATAATCTTTTCTTTTTCTGCAATAATTTAAAATAATAAAAATTTTTAACTTACCTGTTCATAAATTTGAATAGCTTTTTCATAATTTTCAAGTTGTGCAGCATATTGTGCAACTTTCAAAAGACATTTATTTGCAGAGGAATTGCTCTCTTCTCCACGAAAATAATCAGCAGCTTGCTCATAATGGTGAACTGCTCTCTCAAGATCTACAGCTTCACTTTCATACATCTCAGCTATACTTTGATGATGTTTGGCTGCCATTGTGAATCGACCCATATCAGTGTAAATTTCAATTGCCTTTAATAGACAACTAATTGCCTCTAGAAAAGATATAAAATAATAGATTTATATTTTTATTTATACTTTTTATCTTTTTAGAAATATATATCACTATCATTATACCATTTATATTAGATTTTTTAAAACAATTAGCAGCATCTACATAATTAGTAGCTGCATCATGACGATTGCCTGCTTTAGCATGTAACTCTGCTGCTTCATAAAATGCACTTCCTGCAGAACTCCAATTCTTTGCCATCTTGAACATATTTGCAGCACGTTGATAACATTCTACAGCTTCTTCAAACTTTGATGATCCTCTATAAGTAAATATAATAGTAATATAAATAATAAAAATATGTAAATAATTAAAACTTATATTAATAACTTGTATTATTATATATATATGTATATATATGAAACATAAATGATATATGAAAAAAAAGATATTAAAAGTTATCAAGTAACAAATATTGTATCTAAAAGTAGAAATATAATAAAAAATGAATATAAAATATTAATACGTCAAACGATTAAAATAGTTAGTTAAAAGATAGTATATATTTTCATGTTTTTCGATTTAATTTAGTTTTTGATATGCTATATCGTTAATAGAAATTATTACATATACAGATATATATGTGAAAATGCGTAGAAATGAATAATCTATTGAACGGTAAAGAAAAAGATATAAAGAAATTAATTATTTTAACAAAAAAAAAAAATTACGTTTCTTTTAACTATAAATCAAAGTAAATGAATAATACATATTGAAATTGCAGATTTAGTAGTGGATGAGTTCAAGTAAATCGATGTCATAAACGTACCCAAATAGCGAACCGAAGAAGCCCTTTGAAGATGTTAACTTTTTTTCAGCCTCCACTAATAATTGCATTGCCTTCTGTTCGTTATCAGCCATGGTTATATGAAATGAATCTTGACACTTGTAATATCTTTAAAAATGTTTTAAATCATAAACTTCGCACAAATATTCACCTCCCATAAACCGACGTCACTAGTCAATGAAAATGAATCAAGTGTCATCAGTGACAGAATTACCAACATTTAAACAGAAACATTTAAGCCTGATTCATAATAATATTTTAATATTTGCTATCAGAATTACTCATATTTTTATATTTAATAATGATTTTATCAAGAATATTAAAAATATTTTATTGATATTAATGATTAAAAAAAAATAATCAAAATAAAAATTATCTTGAAAATAATTTAGAAAAATTAAATACGCAAAAAATTAATACTTTAAATTTTAAAATATTGGCAACAACGGCGGTAAAAATTATTTTGTATTTATTCCAGAAACAATATTAAGAACAAAGTGGAATTTCAATTTATTAAAATATAAATTTAAAGATTATAGATAAATATATATAGTTATAAGTAAATATAGTTTATAAATAGATATAGTTTAAATTAAAATAGAATTGAAAATGTCAGGAGTGTATAAACAAGCATTAAAATCTTTACAACCTGGTATGCAAAATGCACTTGTAATTGGTATAATTGTAAATAGTTTCAATATGAAAACGATTGATGCTACACGAACGAGATGTATGAATTTTATTTTTTCTTTTCTTTGAATTAAAGTTTTGCATGAAAATGACAAAGTTTTTCATGAAATATCTATATAATTTTATTAATTTATATATTATAATAATTACAGTTAACAATGGCGATCGAAGTGTATGGACATTCACGTTACGTGATTCTTTAGAGGATTCTATAAACGTAACTATATGGGGCAGTATACAATTTGTTAAAAAATTGTTTTCCAGTTTTCATATTGGTAGCGTAGGTTTGTAATAATAAATTAAAAATAATAATATATGTAATTAAATTATCAAATAAAATTTAAATTCAAAATTTGAACTAAATTTAAATGTTTGAATTTAATTTGAGTGTAAAATATTTGAATTTGAATATAAATTTACTTTAAACTTGAATTATGCGCTGCATATTTTCTTTTTTCTTCTTTTAATTTAATAATTTCTAATTCTTTTACTTTTTGATTTTTTTATACATTCATTATACACATATCAAATTAAACTATATATAAATTTAAATTAAATTGACTTACAGTGGAGGTAATTAATCCAAAAGTAATCGCGCGTCGTCCAGAAGACAGGAATGAACTTTTCATGCCGTGGGTGTCCAGCGCATGTAGCTTGACCGTAAACGAGGGCAACGCGTTAGTACAAATTCATGATGCACCAACACGCGCAAAATATGAACCTTTACTGATGCTCCCGATTAAGAATCTGAACGGACTACGAACTTTGAAAAGCATTTTTGAGAACTTAGAAGCGCTACGCGATCAATATGTCGACATCTTGGTGGTTGTTACCTTTGTATGTTTTAAAAATCATATTTATTTAAAAATCATTTAAGGATATTGATAAAAATTTTGTTTTAAATTTATTTTTATTAATATTATCTTAAATATAAGACAATATTTTTAAAAAAGATTTTTTAAAAATCTATCTGCGTAACTTTATAAGAAAAACATTTTGAATTGAAATATTTTAGATATTTCGAAATTTTTGTTTTTATATCACTTTTTACTTCAAAACTTATGTAAAATTCGTATTGAATAGATCAGTGATATTCGAAATGTGATAACACGTGATGGCAGGGACATAAAGTTCCGTAATTTTGAAGCAGTAGACGGATCCACGGATGAAGTAGTGTCTTTAATACTTTGGGAAGATGAATGGATCGAAAAAGCAGCTTTATGGGAACCTAAACGTACTGTACTCCTTCTTGTGGATGTTCGTATCGCATACGACAATTTTAAAAAAAAAATTGTTTTATCTACAGGTTGTAATTCAAAAAATTGAATTTGAAGAAAAATTTTCATATAATTTTAACTTTTTTCTGACTTTGTTTATAAATTTCTAGCTAAAAAAACGATGATTACCGAAAATCCAAATATATCGCAAACTACGACTATAAGAAACGCGGTACAATTTTACGAACATGATATTATGTCCGGAAACTTTGTGACACCAAATCGTAAGCATATATAAGAAGAATCATTTTTTATTGAGATTTATATTGCTTTATATTTTTTTAATTTTATATTTACTTTGAAACAATATTTTGATTTCAAAAATTATAATAATTTAATTTTTTATTTTTCTAGCGGATACGATTACGAGTGTTATGACTATTCAAGAAATTTCGGAAAAGCTAAACAGAAAATCAAAACAAGGAGAAAGAATTCAATTTGCTACGATTTTAAAGGCTTACGTAATGGATATAAATGTGGAAAATTTAAATCCTGGAATAATATCTATAAGATGGTTAGTGCATTTCCTTTTTTTCCTCAATATTTTTTAATAGTTCGTGTTTTTTAGTGCTTTATGTAAGAAAATCATTCCTGATAATCGAGATTCGTGTATGAATCTCGAATGTCCTTCAGGCAACGGAACTCGCGTGCCTTTAAATATAATGAGCCTTAATCTAAAAGTCAATTTAAGAGACAGCACAGGATATCTTATTGGTTGTCGATTATTCGGAGATGCAGCTGAACGTGTCCTTGGTTGCACAGTTAATGAATTTCAGGTTTGTTAATGTTTTTTATTAAAGTATAATAATTTAATTTATTAAAGTATAATAATTTTTTAAATTATAATAATTTTAATTCAGTATTTTTTAATAAATTTTATTAGGAGATGATACTTCCTCAACGCACTGAATTAAAATGGAAATATACATTAGAAAAATGCGATATACGATTGCACGTTCTCGGTCCAACGTCCACTTTTCCAAATGCTATATATAATATCCTATCGATTTGTCGAATTCAAGAAAATGAAGAAATAGAGGAAGATAATCAGCTAATCAATGATGATTTTGTCTCGAATGACTATTGAATTCTTCAAAAAGTTATTATTTTCCAATTAATTATAATATCAAAATATAATAATATATATATATATATTATTTATTTATAATTTTATTTTTTTTATTTATTTATAGACATTTCAAAAAACTAAAAATTATATTTTCTTATTATAATATTAAACATTAAAGAAAAAAAGAATAAATGTATATATTTAATTAATGTATTTTGTTAATTTTTTATCTATTTCAATTTTAATCAACTGATTAATATTTCCTGATTGGTTGCATTTAAAGACCAATGTTTTATAAATATCGTGCAAAAAGTATATCATTGAAATTTTTTTTCTACAAAGTAATTTATATAATTTAATTTTGTATAATTTTCTATAATTATTTTAATAATAAAAATAAAATGGAAATAGAAGAACCAATAAAAGAAAATGCTGTAGAGGTTATTAGGGAAGGATTGAGAGAATTGATTCATATAGAAAGAAAGGAAAATCGTATGAAAACAGTAAATAAAAGTCGTGTGGCTTTAGGAAATATTATAACGAATTCATCTTTTACAACAGAATTTGTAATTGAAAAAGCAAAAGCTCTTAAAAAAAAAGCATTATCTATTGAAGAGTATAAAGAGCTTCAAAATGCCCTTATTCAGGTAATAATTCAAATGCATTATAAATAATAAATATACTAATGTTATAATATTTTTTTTATTTTTTATTAGAGTGAAGAAAATGTTAATTCGTTTTTAAAAGTGGATAACGTCTTATTTGCACTGGTACGTGATTTCTCTAGTAATGACCCTGTTTTACAATTATGTGCTATTAGTTGTTCTTGTAATATAGCACTTGGAAATGCTAAAGCATGTACTTCATTAACGAAAAGTATTGGACCATATCTTATTACAAAATTAGATACTTTAAATTATTCTTTATTGGTAAGTTAAAAAATTAAAGATTATATTACAATTATGATGTAAAAATATTTGAAATAATATATTTTTTCTCATTAGGAAATATGTATATGGACAATAGGAAATTTAATTTCAGGAAGTAATAAAGCATTTGAAATTCTTCATGCCCAAGATTGTTTGAAATATATTATATCCTTGATGTACAATTGTGATAATGTAATTGTGTCTTCAGTAGCTTATACTGCTATGCATTATGTACATATTGGTTTTCAATACATCTTGTAATGACTATTTTTATTATTTCTTATTTTTTTCATTTAATTTTTAAAATATATTTTAAAATATTCCATCAATTGTATGAATATTTTTAGAAAAGAAGAAATTATTGAACTTATCAATGCTACTATAAAGAGAAACTTTACATTTGAAGATTCATATTTTATTTGGTTGCTTGCATTATTATCTTCAGAAATATCATGTCACATATATTTATATTCTGCAATCCCTTTGATAATTGATTATTTATATGAAAATAGTATAAACAATATCACATCAATAATAGAGGTATGTATTTGTCTCAATGGTAATATATGTTTATATTATATAAATACTGTATATATAAGTATATATAAATACTATATACTATATATAATACTAAAGTTCTTTTTTTATTATAGATCACAGCATGTATAAGAATATTAGCTAATACCATACAAGAAACATCTGGACAATTCGCAAAGTTTCTATTGGAAAATTCAAAATATTCACTATCAAATTTAAAAACATTATTAAATAAATTGCTTTTATGTCAGTATGTGCATATTAGGAAAGAAACATTATGGCTAATAGGTAATAATAATAAAGATGTTATTGTTATAAAATTAATTGTTTGGTATAACAAATTTAAATGAAAAATTAAATATTTTGCAAAAACAATTTTTAGGTAATCTTTATAATCACAATTCTGTTGATATAAAAAAAATTATACAAGAAGTTATTTCTGAATCAGTTTTGAAGCAAACAGTCTTATATACAATTCAACAGTATCAATAAATGCAAACTCTATTAGTTAAATGATTATGTGTAAGATACATAACTTGTGTAAGATATATAATATTTACATATATATAATATTAATAATAATTATAAATAATAAGTCTTTCTTCCTGATTTTATATTTTATATTGTATAAAAATATTAAATTATTGATAATATTTAACGATCTTTCATTTGTTTCAATAATTCATCTTAACAGGAATAAATTGTCGTCCTAACTCTATGAAAGTATTTTTCTCTGATACATCCTCAATACAAGGTATTTTTATTATATTAAAGTATATGCGACCCATAATATGTGCTGTCGGATGTGTCGTGGCTTTCAAACAATGATATAGCGCTTCATCACATACACAATGTGACCTAGAAAGGTAAAAAGTTTATTTCCATTACCATTAATCGCAAACAATCTCTCTAAGAATAAGATAAGTAATATTTTTATAATATTTTCATACTTGGTATATACGGAATAGTTTGTAAGATTATATCGTGTTTGTTGACCTCGAATTTTTACAGGACAAAGATCATGACTGCGACAACATCTGAAAAAATTAAACATATTGAAAACCGTATATTAATTAAACATAATTTTCTAGTAATTTTAAATCTATTTTGACGTATATTGACCTATCAATTTGAACTTCTTGACCCAAATCGTGATAATTCTCGGCTATGTCCCCGGCACCACACCATTTTGTACCTATGAAATCATCAAAATTTATATCAAAATATAGATAAAATTATAAATATAACAAGAAAGTCTGCAATAATCACGAACCTGGTAAGATACCTGAGAGAAGAGACAAAACATTACTCATTCCATGATTATCTTTATTTACACTGTTTGATGTCGTTGTAGACAACTTTTCGTGCTGCATTTTGTCCAATAATTCGCATTGTTGTATAAGTTTCGTCATTTGTGAGAAAGATACCAGCTGAGGAATTACTATGGATGACAAATTCCTCAAAACTTCATTGGCTTCATCTTGCTCGCTATAAATACCGATGTATTTTTTTAATTTGTGCATAAATATTGATTTCAATCTAATCCAAAGTACTTACTATACTTCGATCAAGTTGCAATTATGCAATTCATTATTATTAATGCCAAGATCAATCACTGCCACGGTCTGATCATGATAATAAACAGCTCTGATCTCATTTCTGTCGAACGTATCGGCCTTCGAAATACCATTCAATCCTTTGAAAGTGTTTTTGAAGAAGATCGGTTGCTGAATACTGTTAGAAATGATCGCCGCAATCAAGAACAATATCCATCCTGTGGAGCTCATGATTTAAATCGTATTGCACTACGAATATTATCTTGTTTATATGATCATATTAATCACATTCTCGAACTTATCATGCTGAAAATCGTTAGATCACAGATAGATTAAGGAAACAGAAATTAAATTAATACAAGTGAAACATGCGTTGCATTGCAGATTTGATCAGTGCCTTTGTTACGAATGGAATCAATTCTTATCGCCTTGAATTCTGAATAAGAAATAAATTTCTATGAATTTTTATTTATTAATTTAATCGCTTATTTAAACATTCGTTTTTAAGAATTTTTTTCTGTTCAATCGTAACTAATGTAAAAATAGTTAAATTTTTATAAAATATAAAGATATAATATAAAAGTTTTCGTAACTGAATATTAAGAAACAAAAATGAAAAATTATAATTATTTTTTATCATTTCATAGAAATATTTAATTGTTAAATCATGTTTACTGAAGAAGAAAAAATACAAGAAAAAGGAATAAATATAATGGAATATTTAAATATAGGTTACATAACATTCAAACAAAATATAGCGTTTTATGTAAATTCCTACATAAAAGCGAAAATTTAATTTAGTTTTGTACATATTTTCTGATACAATTTAATTATTAATTCAATCTTAACAAAACTCTAATATTAAAAAATTAAATATATATAATCACTCGTATTTAAATTAATAAAGCATATAACATATTATACACTCGTTTGGCTATATTATTTTATACAATATATGTGAAAAGTGATACCTGAGTTTTTTCTTTTCTCTTCATTCTTGTGCTCCGATTCACATATTGATCACACTCTTGATAAAAAGTAACAACACTCTATATCTTATTATTAGAATTTCTCACCTATAAAGATTTAATATTTAGCTGCAAACAGTTGATTGCAAACGGAACATTTACAATGCATGCAGTAATATTAAGAAATTGAACGTCAATGCCAATTGTCTCGATCGATTCAGAATTTCTACAATACTCGACAAATTTCTGAATATCTCTCGAAGAAACAACTTTAAACTGCGCCGATGGAACGAGTATCTGGCGGGAATTAACTGGCGTCCCTCTACCGTGATCTATCGATCTAAAGAATTCGCAAGTATACCTGTTCAGACCCCTCCATTTTCATTCTTTTATCAGTTACAAAGTATCGTCCAACAATATGCACGAATTTACTTGAAGGAGGGGGAACCCAGATTCAGAAAGACTAGGACGAAGAAAGTAGGACGAAAAGTAGAAAATCGTCTGGTTAGTGTGTACATATATGGTTAATTTTTACATTATGTTTCTGATAATCTCAAAAATTTACATGATTTGCATTCGAATATTGAAAATAATTAAAATGTTATTTTTATATACATGTATTATCTTTAATTTCAGTTATTTAACGAGTATAATAATATAACGATTAAAATTTATAAAAACTCGTTTAAATTACATATAAAAAATAAAGAAATAATTTTGTTCATCGTTTCTCCATTAATTTCTTTGTTTTTTAAAATTTATAACTGACCGTATAACTGATCGTAATATACCAATAAGCAATGATAAACGCGAGCAATTTACAAGATCTTGAAGTCAATATATGGATACAGTCGATACGTCGACGTGCAGTAATATTTCGTTAAGATTGACTTGACTTCAAGGGCTGTTGCTCGTGAGCGGACGCGTTCGTCTTGGAGGCTGCATTCATGGGATATTGGTTTCCAATCCGAGTAGTGCTTAGTGTGATACTAATAGGCGTAGCGTTCGAAAGTTGTTGTCGAACCGGACATTGTCGGTAGCCTGGAATATGGCAACATACAAATATATTTAAAATCAAAATAATTACATTAATGAACTTATCAATTTAATAATGTATATTGTAGAGTAGTTTTTTAAGTATTACCAAAGTTAATGACAAATATCGTAAGTCTATGTACAAATTGTCAAAATTAAAATAAAAGACGATTCAATAAGAAAAAAAAAAAAAACATATTTAGTGTCAAATTTAGTCTATTAGTACTTTTCTACTTTTTCAACATTATTTAACTTTAAAATATTTTCAAGTAATTTTAAATAAGTTTTGTTCGTAAACTTGAATTATACTATGAATTATTTATATTGCTCTATGATCCTATGACGTTTTGCATAATTAAATAATTTTAAAAATTTTATTTTTAATAATTATTTTTAATTGTGAAGCTTAATTTAAGATATAAAGAAATGTTTACCAGCATGATGAGGACCGGAACAATGACAGCAAATAGGATTGTTTCGAGGTCTGGGACAAAACTCAACACTATGTGGTTCTCCACATCGAACGCAACGTGGCAAGTGTCTACAGTTGGCAGCCATATGCCAGAATCCCTGGCAACGATAACACTGGAGAACACCGTCCCCTGTTTGAAAGTTAGATGCTTCGAGAAAGTTGCTGACTATTCCTGGTCCTGCCTGCAACGGTCCACCAGTACTTCCGGTTCCTCCGCGCCACCAACGCTCTGGGATGGCACTGAATCGAGCAGCACCGAAAAAGTCCAGTCCTTGACGCAATAAGAGTTCGTAATGTCCAGCATCTAATACCTAACAAGAATATTTTAAGTAATACCATCAATCTCAATAATAACTTAACTTTCTATTAAAAATATTTATAACAAAAAATTATTAAGATCGTAAAATTAAATATGAATATAACAAAATTATATATAAATCATTCCTAGATTATTATAACAGTATAATATTAAATTAATCAAATTATCATACGATATCAGCGATTAAAATTACCAGTTTTTTTTTAGTAAAAGTCTTTTTTTTTCTCTCCTTATCATTATTTTGTTAACTTTGAACTATTACCTCAACGCGTATATATTGTCGCCAACGTTCAACACTTCCTGTTGCAATTCCTTGTTTCATTAATGCAGAATTTATATCCTGTAAAGGAATAGCCCAGGGTACATCGCGAAGAAGAACCGCTTGTCTATAACGAGAATCTTTCGCTGAAAATCGAGCCACCTAATTTGAAGGAAATAAATTTAAAAAAATTAAATTTCATTTAATTATAAAAATGTATAAAAATATATAAAAATAGAAAATAATTATAAATAAATACATAAATAAAATCTTCATGATCAAATTCTTTAAACACGAAGATTTAATGATTCATGTTGTGCAAGTTTTGTTATCTCTATTTTCTTGCATAAGAGAAAGCGAAAGGAAAACGGCAATTACGGTTGTGAAGCAGCGATTATGTGGGCAATGATGTTATATATGATTTACTTTTGAATTCAAGAGTTTTTTATTTTGCAAAGAATATAATAACAAAATTGAATAACAAATCAAATTTCAAGGTAAATTATTAATAAAATTAAATAGTATTTAACACGTTTATTTTATGTTTTGAATTTAAATCGGTACATATTTTACGATATATATATAAGTTACAAATAAGGAATTGGAATGGATAGGATAATAAATACTTGTACAGGTCCTTCGAAAACACGTGCCAAATCGCCACGTTGCAACAATTTTTCTGCATCAGCTTCGCAAGTAAATGCCGCAATCAAACCACAAGGTGTTTCAGACACGTGCCAGGCTGCTAAGGGGTCGGATGCGCGGATTACCTCTTCTAGATTAGAACGTAGCAGCTCGCCACCTGGCATAACTTATTCGTCAAATCTAACAAGTTCAAGATATCAAGGAAAAGTAGGGAAACTATTGTTTTAAAACAATTTATATTGAAAAAAAAACATTTCTCAAATATAACAAAAAAAAAAATTTTCCTATCAATATAATGATAACCAAATATCGATTGTATAATTCAAGAAAGTTATCGCTTCAAAAAAGAAAAAATATAAAACAATTAAAAAAATCATTTGCATTTTGCAAATGTGTGTGTGTGTGTGTGTGTGTGTGTGTGTGTGTGTGTGTGTGTGTGTGTGTGTGTGTGTGTGTGTGTGTACGTGCATATATATATATATAATATGAAATCAATATATAAGCGGAAAATTTGTTAAATAAGTAGCAACTTGCCACTTTGTATTCCTTGCACTTGACCTTGTGGCCCGACAGCACGCGAGATATACAAAGAACATGTAAACTCTTCTTGGCAAGATACACGTGCCCGTGCGTTACAAACGTCATCTGATGAGGTATTCGCTACTGCGACCGTAGTCTGCATCGTTGTCTCAACTTTTTTATTCTCTTGAGAGCATTCCTCCTCCATCCTGTGCACTTTGTGCACCATCGAACGTACCCCTAAAATAAAAACGTAAAATAATGTAAAATTCATAAAGATTTTTTTCAATAATACCGAATAATTAGAATTTTTCTTTAGAATTATTAGATTGTTTTAAATTTGATATCAAATTTTATTTATGTCAAAAGTTTTAATATTTTTTTCTTTTGAAATATAATATCTCTTCAAAATATACATTTTGGAAGTATAATGCTTTAATGAATAATAAATATATGTATTTTTAAAATAAATTACATATATATATAAACTACATACATATATATAAGTGACATGTATTAGAAATAATATGTTTAAATACGTGATAACACGTACATAAAGCAACTTTATTGGCAGGTAATTGTTATCATTGCAATAAAACTCTAATTATCGATAATGAGATAGGCATATAAGTGTTTGATAATGCAAGGTTATAATTACATATTTCTCAGTATGCAAATATGATCTAAATATACAAAGTTGTAGAAAACAAAGTAAAAAATTCAATTGATACTCAGATTCGTTTATTCACCACATTGACACAATCGTTCAATGCAGGACATCCGATTTATAATGCGATCAAAAGCATACATTTGACATTCAAACTTTCACAATTGGTAGCAGTATGCGTACCAATTTCCTTTCACTTATGCACGCAGATTATTGTTTTTAATCACTTTATATCGTGTAAAAAATGTCGATAACATTAAATCACCTTAGACGTTTTTTCCGCTGGTCGTATTTTCGGAAAAGGAATTCTGGGCCAAAGAAGACATGGCCCAATGCTGGCGCCATTAATCAGCCTCTTTCACGATCACAACAATATCGACTCTCTTTTTTCTGAACTATGTATATCTACTGTCGCTTTTTCGATATAGATATTTAATCCATGTCTTTAATCAGTTTTTCAAAATTCAATTTTGAAATTCATCGTGTTCCTTTTCTATTAACAGGTATCATCCTATATATATTTAATATTATAAAAAATCGACTTATAATATTGATTTGATATATGATTTTATAATTAATATGAGCTAATATATTTTGAAAAATATATTAGTTTTTAAATTCAATATTTTATTATTCAATAACAATTATTGCAAAAATATAATTTCTGTCAAACGAGCTCGTTTGTATAATTATTGTTTGTATAATTATTATAACAACAAATGTAAAAGAAAAAAGGATTTTGCTTATATCTGGTGCGCTAGACACATATATTATTTTACTATCGTTCTAAGTGGGGGTTGTCGCTGGTGGTTGGATGGCGGAGCATCGCGGCAGCATATGCGCACAAAGACGTGACAGCAATTATTACGGCTGTGTGCGCGTTCGTGATTATCGAAGGCCTCTAGGAAAATGGCCGAAACACGTAATCCACCGGTGTTTTCCCCAAAAACTCTTTACCAATTGAGTGTATTAGCGATAGCAAACAAGTTTCTAAATTTGAGGAAGTATCTTCCCGATTTACCGAATGATGTATTGTTCGATGTTTACTATCAGGTAAATGTCAAATTATGTTGTCGATTAGAACGCTTTTTTACACAGTAATAAATATATTTTTTTTTTTAACTTAATCAAAATTTTTTCTATTATCAAGATTATTGCAAAATGAACGATTTATTTTCATGAATTTAATTTTTTGTTTCGCACATTCATAAAATAATATCGCATGTTCAATCAAAACATTCAAAGTATCATAACACTGTATTGTGACAGTTATACTTATTTGACAAAAATGTATTTTGACATTATGTACATCGATAAGATTATATAGAATTAGATTTAATTTATGAAATAACAGTAAATAAATTTAAATGATTCAATAAAACGGGGTTATAAAATGATATATATCATATGTTTAACCTATATTTATTATATTTTACTTTTTTATTTTGCATATATTTACAATGCAATATAATGATTCATAAAATAGAAACACGATTTGCTAAATATAAAAAATACTTTGCTCATGCATAAATTTTCACAATAACAAATCAATTTTTTTTTAATAAATTTTATATATTTATTCTGTGATGGACATGATCTCGTATGAGTTATGCGAAATTATATTTTGACAAGTGCGTAAAAATCAATTTATTTGTTTTTTTTATTTTTAAAATTTTTTATCAATTACTTTAAAGAAACTGCAACATTTTTATAACTTATGTAATTAAATATTTATAATTTGATAGCTAATACTTTCTAATTAAATATATAATAAATTTTCTAAAATGTGATTATTACATAATTTACATTATAAATCAATATAATAATGCAACAACAACAAAAATAATCCATTAAATATTTCATTTTTACAGTTGTATAAAGAAAAAAGATTATGTTTATTGGGAATTGACTTCAGCAATCTAGAGATTTTTTCTAAGATGTTAACAGTTACTAGCCGCCGTGTACATTTGTTACAGAGTTTTCAAGTAATTACTTATATTTATTAAAAATGCAAATAAGAAATATATAAAATTTTTTTGTATACATTTATTTTTTTTTTTTGATTTTTCAGAGTCTCATAGATCATGGAGTACGAGTAGAAGAAGAATTAAGCATCACTTATACATTATGCTATCTTGATGTTAGTGAAAATCTAGCTGCTGAAGAAAATTTAATAAATTTAGGTCTAAGAATTGGTGGATTTTTCAGTGATGCTGGTTGGTACGCAAAAAGTGAACAAGTGTTATTAGCATGCAAACAATTATGTTTTGCAAATAATTCTATACCTCAGAATTGGTGTAGAACATTAGAATGTTGTAGAAAGTAAGATATATTTTATTTATACTTAGTGTGTTTTTCAAGATTGATTTATATTTTATAATAAGCATTTAAAAATTTAGACTTTTACATGTACAAGCTGCATATTGTGAATTTTTACAAGCAGCAAAAACTCATCAACTTGCTGTAGAATTAATAGAAAGATTGAAAAATGCAGGGTATAATGATTATAATTATGCTGCTATATATACTGAATTTAGTATACTTTTTTATATGAAAAGCGAATATGACGAAGCTTATAGGTATGCACTATATCTTACTTCTACAAAATTTGTTATTTTTTTCAATTTCACTAATTTCACAATTGTTTAGATGGAGTATAGAAGCATTAAAACAGCTGAAACCTACGTTATCTGCACGCATCACTGTTGATGTTTTAAGGCAGGCAGCAAAATCTTGTGTATTAAAACGCGAATTTCAGAGAGCTGGTCTATTAATCAGACAAGCTGTATATCTTGCTAAAGAAGTATTTGGTATTGATCATCCAGTGTACAGTAATGTCCTTATAGATTATGGATTTTATTGGTTAAACTTTGATAACATAATTAACAGTGTAAATCTCTATAAGGTTCGTACGTTCGTAATATAAATCAATAAGATTATTATTATTTTATTATAATTTTTACAATTATTAATCTATTTGTTATTATTATTTGTGCATTATAATTATATGCTATTAATCTTATTATATTTCTTATTTGTTGTAGAATGCATTAGCAATTAGAATGGAAATATTTGGTAAAATGAATTTACATGTTGCATTAGCACATGAGGATTTAGCTTATGCTCTTTATGTATATGAATATAGATCTGGTGAATTTCCAGAAGCAAGGTAAATTATTATAATTTATTATTCTTAAAAATTTATTAAAATCATATAATTTTATTTCACTTTAAATGAATAGTGTTCATATTGAGAAAGCAATAGACATAATGCTAAACCTTTTACATGGGGATCATTTATTATTAGCAAGTGCAAAAAGAATAAATGCATTAATTCTCGAAGAAATAGCGTTAGATAGTACATCATCGCCATTATCGAAACAAAATCTACTATTTAAAGCTGAATGCCTTCATTTATCTGCTTTGCAATCAGCAAAAGAAGCATTTGGTGAAAGAAATGTACAAACAGCAAAACATTATGGAAATTTAGGACGTGTGTATCAGAGCATGAGGAAATGTAAGGTACATATTTCGCGTAAATATATTAATTAAAAATTTAGGACATGATTATTATATTTCATCAATAATTTTAGGAAGCTGAAGCAATGCATCTAAAAGCTATACATATTAAGGAGGAATTATTAGGACCAGATGATCATGAAGTTGGTTTGAGTATAGGACACTTAGCTTCGTTATATAATTACCACATGAACCGATATAGAGATGCTGAAAGGCTTTATTACAGGAGTATTGGAATTAGTATGTATATAATATTTTTTTTAAACTTATATGTCATTGTTTTAATTAAATTTTCATACTAGGTTTGAAATTATTCGGTAAAAGTTATAGTGGTCTAGAATATGATTATCATGGACTTTTAAATGTTTACACAAAATTAAATGAATATGACAAAATTATAGAATATGCAACAATATTAAATAATTGGAAAATGTTAAGAGATAAACACTTGGAATCAAAAGAACCAACAATTGATCCTAAAAGACGGCCACAACCAATCGAAGAAATAATTGAAAAATTTTTTTCTATGTAATATAACTGTATATTAATATTTTAATCATCATTGTCTCGGCGATTGACATAGTTAATTCCAATTTTGTTGGAGTAACTCGGGCCAAAGTATAAATAAAATCACGAGTTACATTATATGATCTAGGATATCGTAAATCATATATTTTTGACAGTATCATTAAGGTTTTTCAAACATAGTCACATGAACTTCATGTTTCTTCTTTGTACCTCATCATTTTGTATGTATTAATTATTTTTACAACTAGTTTTAGTGGCAAATCAAGAATGTTTAGAGCTGAATATTTTTTGCACCGTGATCAAATATCAGCAGCATTTAAAACATGTTTATCATTGTAAGATTTATATATATTTCAGTTGATCTACAAAATATTAAAAAGATTCTAATTATTTTTATAAATTTTAATTGTATTTTTTATTCACAAATCTTGTGAAATCAAATGTGATATGTGATGTACTGTTACTTTTTATTAAATATTTTGTTCCTATACAAATATTATAATAAATAAGAAATCTAGATAAATTTTTGGATTTCAGAATAATAAATTAAAAAATAATATGACAGGAATATGTACAGACTTGTGCTTTTAAAATAAATATAGAAATATTATATATTTACTATCTTCAGTTATATATACTATCTTTTTTCTTTTAACATAAAGAAATAAAATTAATGATTTGCAACATTCAAGAAATGAATTCTATACGAGACTTATTTTAATTATATCAATAACAAGATAATAAGTAAATTTACAAATGTGTGTGTGTGTGTGTGTGTGTATGCGTGCGCGCGCGTGTGTGTACTCATATGTGTATATATATATATATACATATATATATGTACATATATGTGTATATATATATATATATATATAATTCATATATACATTTAAAAGCTTTAATCTTTTAAATTACAGAAACATTAAGTGGTACATAATTTATTTACACAATATTTACTTTATCACTCCAGTTGTCAGGTAATAGGAATCATATCTATTCTCCTCTCATACTAACAGCATCTCTATTTTTTTCTAAAAATCATTAAATTTTTAATTAATTGTTAAATAACATTAAATATAATCCATGATATACAATTAATTGGTTTTTATTATATTACCAAATTGATATTGCACATTTTGTTGGACTCATTTTTTTTTTTAGAATATTTAATCAGGTGTATGTGGTGGTTCTTGGCTAAAATACGGTGCTGTATCTTGTACCAATAATGTATGGCAAACATCACAGACTCTGGATGGTCTTTGTTTCGGTCCACTTTTCACAACATGTGAAAGGCAAGATTGACAAAATATATGGCCACAATGACGGCAATGTACCTATATAAAGAATTTTTCAAATTTTTCATCATAAAAAAATTATATATATATATAGATATAAATTATTTATATTAACAAATTTATTAACATTATTTATTGATTATGATTACCTTTTTCTTTGTAACTGTAAAAGCAGTATGACAAGTAGGACATTCTTCTATATCTTCTTCATGCTGCCATCGTACTTCACTACCAGCTTGTCTAATTCTTTCT